ACATTAAAAATATGATTTATTTTACTGCTTCTCTAATGGGGGCCATAGATGGGTCGAAAATCGGCCGATTTTTCGGCCGAAAATAAAATCGGCCGATTTTCGGATCGTTAGTGGGCTATTTGTTCGGCCGTTTTTCGGTATTTTGGCAGATTTTTTTTATCGGTAAAGTTGGAAAGAAATCGGCCGATTTTGCCGATCGGCCGATTTTTGCGGCAGTGATGGGCAAATCGGCCGATTTTTTACCGATAAAAAAATCTGCGCATGAGCAGTGACCTGCAAGAGGAAGACAAAAAGAAGAAGAGGAAGAGGATGAAGAAGAAGAAGAAGAGGATGAAGAAGAGGATGAAGAAGAAGAAGAGGATGAAGAAGAAGAAGAGGATGAAGAAGAGGATGAGGAAGAGGATGAAGAAGAAGAGGAAGAAGAAGAAGAGGATGATGATGAAGAAGAAGAAGAGGATGAAGAAGAGTATGACGAAGAGGATGAAGAAGAGGATGAAGAAGAAGAGGAAGAAGAAGAGGATGATGATGAAGAAGAGGAAGCAGAAGAGGATGAAGAAGAGGAAGAAGAAGAAGATGAAGAAGAGGATGAAGAAGAAGAAGAAGAAGAAGAGGATGATGATGAAGAAGAAGAAGAAGAGGATGAAGAAGAGGAAGAAGAAGAAGAGGATGAAGAAGAGGAAGAAGAAGAAGAGGATGATGATGATGATGAAGAAGGAGAAGAAGAAGAGGATGAAGAAAGAGGATGAAGAAGAAGAAGAGGATGATGATGAAGAAGGAGGAGAAGAAGAAGAGGAGGAGGATGAAGAAGAGGATGAAGAAGAAGAGGATGAAGAAGAGGATGAAGAAGAAGAAGAGGATGATGATGAAGAAGAAGAGGATGAAGAAGAAGAGGATGATGATGAAGAAGAGGAAGAAGAAGAGGATGAAGAAGAAGAAGAGGAAGAAGAAGAAGAGGATGAAAAATAAGAGGGAATTCCAGTCCGGCAAAAAGTGTCCCTTCAGAGAGCTCTGCTATTTCTTTTGACAGTTCCTTGACATTTATAGCGGTTGCAACATTGTATCTATTTGTTTCCGAATAAAAACATCCGTATCCTAAATGGATACAAATAGATACATTGTTGCAACCGCTGTAAATGTCAAAGAACTGTCAAAAAAATTGCGGAGCTCTCTGCAGGGACACTTTTTGCCGGCTGTAGACGGGATGAAAATCGGCCGATTTTTTTTACCATTGCTGGTAACGTCGGCCGCTTGAACTACCGATTTTTCGTTTTTTTTAAAGGAAAATCGGCTGTTTTTCTCCCCGTCTATGCCTGCATAAGCTTTGCTGAGCAACTCCAATATGTACAGCAGGGAGCTGCATTTCCAGTTCCTGGCTGCAATGGAACAGTGTCTATGAATGACACCATCTCTGGAGTTGCTCTCTGCCCTCTTCACTGTGATGTGCCATTCACAAAGCACAGCATAGTTGGTTTGTTTATGTGTTTACAGGTTCCCTCTTTGGATGTGTTTGGTACATCCAAAGAGGTTACGTAGAAAGCTGGTAAACAGCAGTAGATTAGGTTCTCTGTTCTCTTGCCTCAACTCTGAACAACCTGTACAGCATACCTGTTATGTCAATGATTACTGCAATACTATTGAGATCACATACTTAAATATCCTGCACAAAACTATGTTACAGTTTCAGAAACATCGGACTGATTAGCGGCAAAGGAACGCAATTTATTGCCAGAGGTTGAAGCAAATGGTAGTATCTACATAAATGAGCAAACAGAGAATTAGCTCAATCACAGCTCACTAGACACTGTAATCACTATGTTATAGCGGCTTGGAGTAGAGTTCTGTATCAGTAGATTAAAGTAAACCTAGCAACCAAAGAGATCAGCAGTAATCAGAAGCATTAGTGAACAGTAACAGCATAGTGGTTGATGCTATAATAACTCCCAGTAGGCTGTAACTGCTTTAGAGTGCACTCTATATGGATGGCTACAATGAACTATAGGTTGCATAAACAGGTACTTCTTACTACAGTCCCTATGTAAAACCCCAATTCCAAAAACGTTGGGGTGCTGTGTAATATATCTACTGTACATAAAAACAGGACCGTGTCTACCACGAGCATCCCCTCTTCTTTTAACAACATTCTGAAAACTCTGTCTGGAAACTGGGGAGACCAGTTGCTGGAGTTTTGGGACAGGATTTTTTGTCCCATTCTTGCCTGATATAACATTGTAACTACTCAACAATCCTGGGTGTTCTTTGTTATATTTTTCAATTCAAGGTGCACCAAATATTTTCAGTTGCTTAAAGGTCTGGTCTGCAGGTAGGCTAGTTAAGCACCCAGACTCTTCTACTACAAAGCCATGCTGTTGTCATAGATGCAGTATGCAACTTAACATTGTCTTGCTGAAATATGCACGGCCTTCCCTGGGAAAGATGTAGCCTGGATGGGACCATATGCTGCTCTAAAATCTGGATATGTTTTTTCAGTACTGATGATGCCTTTCCAGTAGTGCAAGCTGTCCATTCCATATGCACTACTGTACCCTCATACCATCAGAGATGCAGGCTTTTTAACTGACTGCTGATAACAATCCGGAAGGCCCCTTTCTTTTTAGTCCAGAGGACACAGCACCCATGGTTGTCAAGAAGAATATAAAATTTCAATTCGTCTGACCACAGAACATTTTTCCATTTTGCAACAGACCATTAACCACTAGCCTACTGGGCACTTATACCCCCTCCTGCCCAGTCCAATTCAGCTTTCAGTGCTGTTGCACTTTGAATGACAATTGCGCGGTCATGCAACACTGTACCCATATGAAATTTGTATAATTTTTTTGTGACAGATAGAGCTTTATTTTGGTGGTATTTAATCACCTCTGGGGTTTTTTTATTTTTTTCACCAAACCAAAAACCAATGAAAATATTGAAAAAAAAAGTTTTTTTTTTAGTTTTTGTTATAAAATTTTGTAAATACAGTCATGGCCGAAATTGTTGGCACCCTTGATATTTCTCCAGGAAATCATGTATTTCTCACGAAACGTATTGCATTAAACACATGTTTTGCTATACACATGTTTATTCCCTTTGTGTGTATTGGGACAAAACAAAAAAAAGGGAGGAAAGAAAGCAAATTCGACATAATGTCACACAAACCTCCAAAAATGGGCTGGACAAAAGTATTGGCACCCTTTCACAACTGCGGATAAATAAGAATGTTACAAGCATGTGATGCTCCTGTAAACTCACCTGGGGCAAGTAACAGGTGTGGGCAATATAGAAATCACACCTGAAAGCAGATAAAAAGGAGAGACGTTCACTTAACCTTTGCATTGTGTGTCTGTCTGTGCCACACTAAGCATGGACAACAGAAAGAGGAGACGAGAACTGTCTGAGGACCTGAGAACCAAAATTGTGGCAAAATATCAACAATCTCAAGGTTACAAGTCCATCTTCTCCAGAGAAACTAGATTTGCCTTTGTCCACAGTGCGCAACATTATCAAGAAGTTTGCAACCCATGGCACTGTAGCTAATCTCCCTGGTCGTGGACGGATGAGGAAAATTGATGAAAGATTGCAACGCAGAATAGTCCCGGATGGTGGATAAGCAGCCCAAACATGTTCCAAAGACATTCAAGCTGTCCTGCAGGCTCAGGGAGCATCAGTGTCAGCGCGAACTATCCGTCGACATTTAAATGAAATGAAACGCTATGGCAGGAGACCCAGGAGGACCCCACTGCTGACACAGAGACATAAAAAACAAGACTACAGTTTGCCAAAATGTACTTGAGTAAGCCAAAAGCCTTCTGGGAAAACGTCTTGTGGAGATGAGACCAAGATAGAGCTTTTCGGTAAAGCACATCATTCTACTGTTTACCGAAAACGGAATGAGGCCTACAAAGAACAAAACACAGTACCTACGGTAAAATATGGTGGAGGTTCAATGATGTTTTGGGGTTGTTTTGCTGCCTCTGGCACTGGGTGCCTTGACTGTGTGCAAGGCATCATGAAATCTGAGGATTACCAAAGGATTTTGGGTCGCACTGTAGGGCCCAGTGTCAGAAAGCTGGGTTTGCGTCCAAGATCCTGGGTCTTCCAGCAGGACAATGACCCAAACATACGTCAAAAAAGCACTCAGAAATGGATGGCAAAGAAGCGCTGGAGAGTTCTGAAGTGGCCAGCAATGAGCCCAGATCTAAATCCCATTGAACACCTGTGGAGAGATCTTTGAAATTGCTGTTGGGAAAAGGTGTCCTTCCAATAAGAGAGACCTGGAGCTGTTTGCAAAGGAAGAGTGGTCCAAAAATTCCGGGTGAGAGAAGAAGCTTATTGATGGTTTAATAGGAAGCGACTGATTTCAGTTATGTTTTCCAAAGGGTGTGCAACCAAATATTAAGTTAAGGGTTTGCCAATACTTTTGTCCAGCCCATTTTTGGGGTTTTGTGTGACATTATGTCATATTTGCTTTTCTGCCTCTGTTTTATATTTGTTCCAATACATTACAAAGGGAATAAAACATGTGTATAGCAAAACATGTGTTAATGCAATACCTTTTTTGTGTGAAATACTTGATTTTCAGGAAAAATATCAAGGGTGCCAACAATTTTTTGACTGTAAGTGATTTTTCTCCTTCACTGATGTGCGCTAATGAGGCTGCACTGATGTGCACTGATAGGCTGCATTGATGGACACTGATAGGTGGCACTGATGGGCACTGATGAGGAGGCACTGGTAGGTGGCACTGATGGGCATTGACAGGCATCACTGATAGGCACTGAAAGGCAGCACTCATATATGGCACTGATAGGCATCACTGATAGGTGGCACGATAGGCGGCACTGACTGGCACTGATAGGCGGCACTGGCTTGCACTGTTAGGCGGCACTGATAGGCAGCACTGACGGGCACTGATAGGCGGCACTGATGCACACTGATAGGCGGCACTGACTGGCACTGATAGGCGGCACTGACTGGCACTGATAGGTGGCACTGACTGGCAGCACTGATAGGTGGCACTGATTGGCAGCATTGATAGGTGGCACTGGCTGGCACTGATGGGTGACACTGAAAGGCAGCTCAGATGGGCACTGATATGTGGCATTGATGTGCACTGGTAGGCACTGATATGTGGCATTGATGTGGCACTGATGGGCACTGGCAGGTGGCATGGGTGAGCACTAACAGCTGGCACTAATGGACACTGACAGGTGGCACTGCTGGGGCTACACTGATCATCAGGGCACACTGATCATCAGTGCCCTGATGATCAGTGTACATGTCCCCTCTGAGGGATGCTGATTATCGGCTCTCCTCTCCTCTCAAGCTGTCAGCGTGACAGCTCATGAGGAGAGAAATGCTGATAACCGGCATGTCCCTATTTACATGTGATCAGCTGTGATTAGACACAGCTGATCACATGATCAAGCCGACATCTTCGTCTCTCTTTCCGTTGATTGGTGATCCGCTGTGCCCGAGGGACACAGCGCACCGCAGATCGCCACGCTGCGTGCTCCCGGAGCCGCGCATGCGCGGTTAGAATGGGAGGACGTCATATGACGTCCTCCCAGAACGAGAGAACCGCCTTGCATCCGTCATTTTACTATATGGCGGGAGGGAGGTGGTTAAATTAGCTTTGCCTCAGAGAAAGGCGGTAGTGTTTCTAGATTATGTTCAGATATGGCTTCTTCTTTGCATGATAGAGCTTTAGCTTGCATTTTTGGATGGCACATTGAAATGTGTTCACAGACAGTGATTTCTGGATGTTTTGCTGAGCCCATGCAGTGATGTCCATCACAGAATCATGTCTGTTTTAATGCAGTGCTGTCTGAGGGCCCTAAGATTACAGGCACCCAATATTTCATTTCAGTCTTGTCCCTTGCGATTGAAGATTTTGACGATTTTTAAATGCAGCTATTCACAGATTGGTGAACCTCTGCCCATCTTTACTTCTGAGACACTCTGACTCTAAGATGTTCTTTGTAGACCCAGTCATATTATTGACTTGTTGCCAATTAACCTGATTAGTTGCAAAATGTTTTTCCAGCTTTTCCTTGTTAGTTCCGCTTACGAGACATGTTGCTGCCATCATTTTCAAAATTACCTTTTTTTTTGTCATAAAACGGTACTTTTTCTCAGTTTAATCATTGGATATGTTTTCTAGTTTCGATTGTGAATAAAATATGGGTTTATGAGATTTGCAAATCATTGCATTCTTCAGTGTATATAAATAGCTAATAAAAGAAACATAACCCAAAAGAAAGAAGGTTCATAGAAACTGAGAACATATAAGTCAGAACATGAACATATCTGGGTGACAGTGGGGGCAGATATTTGCACATTTGTACAGACTCCTGTCCAGTACTGAAACTTACTTATTCTGATGCTTAGAGCTTCTCACAATGAGGATTAGAAGCCTCAGCAGGTCAGATAGAGCCAAACTCATTTTCTAACTCATTGACTGCAGGATATCCAGCATCATCTAGCCCTTTCCTTTTCATCCATACTGTCCCTGACCCACCCTCTTCCCTCATTTGATTTCAGCTTTTAAATCTTGGAGGCTCAGCATCACATGTGCGCATTACTCAGAGCGGTCTGCATGCAAATACAGTTTGCCTAGTAGAACCCATTCTCCAAGACTGACACCCGCCCATGGAGGAGACATTTTTATATTTACATAATACCACCCAAGAAACAACCCCTTACTTGCCCCAGGGCTGAGAACTCTTGAGAAGAGTGCTAAGGCAGGGTGCTTTTTTTTTCTTTCAGCAAGCTACAGTGCCTTGAAAAAGTATTCATACCCCTTGAAATTTTTGACATTTTGTCATGTTACAACCAAAAGCATAAATGTATTTTATTGGGATTTTATGTGATAGACCAACACAAAGTGACACATAATTGTGAAGTGGAAGTGAAAGGAAAATGATAAATGGTTTTCAAATTTATTTACAAATAAATATCTGAAAAGTGTGGCATGCATTTATATTCAGCCCCCTTTACTCTGATACCCCTAACTAAAATCTAGTGGAACCAATTGCCTTCAGAAGTCACCTAATTAGTAAATAGTCCACCTGTGTGTAATTTAATCTCAGTATAAATACAGCTGTTTTGTGAAGCCCTCAGAGACTTGTTAGAGAACATTAGTGAACAAACAGCATCATGAAGGCCAAGGAACACACCAGACAGGGATAAAGTTGTGGAAAAGTTTAAATCAGGGTTAGGTTATAAAGAGCACTGTTCAATCCATCATCCGAAAATGGAAAGAGTATGGCACAACTGCAAATCTACCAAGACATGGCTTTCCACCTAAAACTGACAGGTCGGGCAAGGAGAGCATTAATCATAGAAGCAGCTAAGAGGCCCATGGTAACTCTGGAGGAGCTGCAGAGATCCACAGCTCAGGTGGGAGAATCTGTCCACAGGACAACTATTAGTCGTGCACTCCACAAATATGGCCTTTATGGAAAAGTGGCAAGAAGAAAGCCATTGTTGAAAGAAAGCCATAAGAAGTCCCATTTGCAGTTTGTGAGAAGCCATGTGGGGGACACAACAAACATGTGGAAGAAGGTGCTCTGGTCAGATGAGACCAAAATTTAAATTTTTGGCCTAAAAGCAAAACGCTATGTGTGACGGAAAACTAATACTGCACATCACCCTGAACACACAATCCCCACTGTGAAACATGGTGGTGGCAGCATCATGTTGTAGAGATGTTTTTCTTAAACAGTGACAGGGAACCTGGTCAGAGTTGATGGGAAGATGGATGGAGTCGAAAACAGGGCAATCTTAGAAGAAAACCTGTTTGAGTCTGCAAAAGACTTGACACTGGGGCGGAGGTTCACCTTCCAACAGCACAACGACCCTAAACATACAGCCAGAGCTACAATGGAATGGTTTAGATCAAAGCATATTCATGTGTTAGAATGGTCCAGTTAATGTCCAGACCTAAATCCAATTGAGAATCTGTGGTAAGACTTAAAAATTGCTGTTCACAGACGCTCTCCATCCAATCTGACAGAGCTTGAGCTATTTTGAAAAGAAGAATGGGCAAAATATTCACTCTGTAGATGTGCAAAGCTAGTAGAGACATCCCCAAAAAGACTTGCAGCTGTAATTATAGCAAAAGGTCATTCTACAAAGTATAGACTCAGGGGTGCTGAATACAAATGTACGCCAGACTTTTCACATATTTATTTGTAAAAAATGTTGCTTGAGGTGATTGTAGCCGTATTAGTGCATTTGCGACAGAAACAATTGAGTACTGTCCGTGATATTTTTTTTATTTGACCTAACATACAATTTTGAGGACAAGCTTTCGAGGGTATATCCCCTTCTTCAAAGTCCAATACTTTTTTTATTTTCACTAACATACAATTTTGAGGACAAGCTTTCGGGGTATGTCCCCTTCTTCAAAGTCCAAGTAGTACTGCTTTGACTTTGAAGAATTGGACATACCCCGAAAGCTTGTCCTCAAAATTGTAAGTTAGTGAAAATAAAAAAAGTATCACGGACAGTACTCAATTGTTTCTGTAAAAAATGTTGAAAACCATTTATTATTTTTCTTCCACGTCACAATTATGTGTCACTTTGTGTTGGTCTATCACATAAAATCCCAATAAAATACATTTACGTTTTTGGTTGTAACATGACAAAATGTGGAAAATTTCAAGGGGTATGAATACTTTTTCAAGGCATTGTATGTACAGCACTCTGCCTGCTCCTCCCACCAGCCATGATTGGCCTGCATTTACTAGAGAAGTGACACCACTGTCTCTAAAATAAGGTGTGTAATGAAAATAGAAATGAAAAGAAAAATAAAAATCATTACCATGTTGATGACGGAGAGAGAAAAAAACAGGAAAAGCAAAATATACAGTAAGCAGACTAAACATCAGCTTTATACGAATGTCAGGAAGTTGGATTGTGTTGCCACAAAAGAAATACCTTCTGTCAGTGTATTTATTTTCTTTTTTGTGTGTGTCTTATTATGCTTTTTAATCCAGTCATGTATGATTGCAATTGTACATGGTGTGAAAGTTCTGCATTCACCACATCAAAAAAAGAGGAAGTAGGGAACTTCATCTCACTCAACTTCAATATTAATATGTGTGCAATAAGAACTTCCTTTTCTGTGCTAACAGATCATCAGAGAGATAGTACAACTGTCATTTTCTGTTCAGAATCCTTGGCTCAGCAAAGACATAGGCATTCAGTACATTATTTCAAGAACTTCTATTTTTTTGGAATACAAGGCTGATATTTCCAGGTAGGAACTTAAATATGTTAGTCAATTCATATACAGGGGGTCCCTGGCAGAGGATTGTTTTATTCCAGTGTGTACATTAATAGTGAAGCCACGTGGGCTGCGGATGAGAACAAGTGTAGATACAGTGACTTGGGCTAATTGTGACATTTTAATCTTGTTAGCAAAAGATTGGACACTTTGCTGACTTCGTTGGCAGAATATTGATTTCAGCTGAAAGAGTGGTCAGTTGGTGGTCTGGATAACAAATATTATATGTTGCACAGACAAAATTATCATTTGATTGATCACATTGTAGCTACCTTTGTGACAGCTGCCCCACTTCAGAACCAGTACAAAACAAAATGCCATCGTAATCATATTTCTAATCCCAGACTCATAACATGTATTTGACTAGAACATGTTACACTGTATTCTTTGTTCCTAATTAATTGTGTATTGATCTGCAGCTTGAATACAACCAAACAATTGTCTTTTAAGTTTACTAGTAAAAATTAAGTTAATTCAATTACTGATAGAAGTGGGGGTTTTTTAATATATAAATGAAAACAGGGTAATTATTGCTCACATTGAACACATTTTTGGTAAATTACTATATTTATTATTATTATTTAACTTCAGATGTGTAACTTTATGCTTATGTTTAAATATTTATGTTTTCTTCTTTATTTTCTTTATACTCCAGTACTTTATTCCATTCCTTTCATATATGACACGTTTTTTGAATTACAATAAAAAAAAATCCTTATCCCTAAAACAATGTCCATCACTAGCCTGTGTGTTATTTTTTTTTTTTTAATAAAATTAAAGGTTGGTTCTTGACTATTAAGTCACACATTTTGGTCTGAAGCCCACAAAAAATGTAGACAATGCCAACATACAGTATATACAATACTGATTGTGACACTGAGTAGTAGTAATTAAAAAAAAAAACCTTTACAGCTCCACAATTTGCATACTTTTTAAACTTAATTATTTACCTTGCAATATTCTGCCAAGTATCCATTTCTTTTTTGGACTTGACATTTTAGATTGAAAAAGACATGTTGATTTTTTTAATACCAACCAAACCATGAATATTAGTATAAGGCCTTGTGCACACTTGATGTTTTTGCTATCTCTTCTAGATGCCATTACTCCTGGCAGCAATGTTTTGGCAGA